GGACTGCCTGGGATGGTATGGATTCGCATATAAGATGGACGAGTCTTCATAATCACGTATAAAGTAACGACACGTGAAGGCCATATGTTCACCCCAGGGAGGAGGTAGATCCGAACAGTCTTTTGGGACGGAGGATCCGTGTGGTACGCTATGTGGTGCGCAAGCTGTGCGGTGAGCAACCTAAGCGGCGCATTCAATTTCGCAAAATCTGGAGTTGTCAGCTTCACCCGCAATTTGGTTTGCAAAACCCACGCGGCCAACCCAATTTGGTTGGTGCATCTCTAAGGCCGCGCCAGCCCGCGCATGCTCGCGCGCACAGCGGCCAGCTAGTTTGGGGCGACCAGCGGGGCCGCGGCGGCGCGGACCGCCGGGCACTGCCCAACGAACATTTCAGTGCGGGTCGGTAAGTCGGGCGGGTGCGGTCGCATGGTGACGTCGACAAAGGCAGACACGATGATGATAGTAGCGATAATAACGATGATGACGACGATGACGGCAAGGCCTTGGACGGCGCCGATGTTGATCACGCCGATGACGATGACTGCTTGGCGATGGCTGGCGCATCGCGGCGGCCGCGCTAGCGCACGCAGGCTCGCGTTCAGAACGGCCAGCTGACGCGGTCACGTTGGCGCTGACCGCTGGGGACATCCCAGCGCGTCTCGCAAGCTGCGCTGACGCGCGGACACTTCAGGGCGAGTCGGCGTTTCGGACGGGCGCGGTATCATGGCGACGTTGACAAACGGAATACACGGTGATGTTTGTAACGATGCTTGAGACGCCATTTGCGATGACGACGGCAGGGCCGATGACGGCGCTGATGCTGCTCACGCCAGTTACGATGATGGTGTCCACGTGTTTGTGATGAAGGTTGCGCAAAAGAGATTTCGAATTTGCGCCCGGCCGACGGGCGCGAGTGGCCCGCATTGTATTATTTGACATGGGCCGTGCCCCCCCAGCTTTCGCGCGAGGGTCTTCGAATGCTTCCAACATGCGCTCGCGAGAAGCACGTTTGGTCGAATTTGATGAGCAAGTTCAAAAACAACAACGGTTTTCGCAAGGATTCCAAAGAGCCCGCGCGCAAGCGTGGGGAGAACAACCAGGTTGCAACACCATTGTTTTTTAATCTGTTTCGTGACACTCGGTATTGCACCCCCTGCGAAACCCAAAATTTCCATAATGATTCCGGCATGCGCGCGCGACGACGCGCGTGCGCATTTCGCCCCATTGTTTGGCAACGTGGATTTCGGAAGTTCATGATTTTTTATTATCGAATGGGCGAATAATGCTCTGTTGCAGGGGAAGGGAAGGGGGGTCGAAACCGGCTGGATTGGAGTCGTCTGATCTCTTCTTCAAAATGAGAGACGGGACGTCATCGTGTGTAAACGGCGCATCCCCAACGGGTACCGTTCAATCCGCCTTCGGGAGAGTAGTGGAATCCGTTCCCTTTGTAACAGGAGAATCTACGTCGTGCCATCCGAATGACGGGCGGCGACGAGGCGACGACGGGGCAGCGTCGACGGCGACGACGGCGACGAGGCGGCGACGGGGCGGCGATGGCAACGACAGAGCCGCCAGACCAGCACGCAGGCTCAGCCGACGGGCGGCGACGAGACGGCGACGGTGCGGCAACGGCGACGACATAGCCGCCAGACCGGCAACCATGCCCACACGACGGGCGGCGACGGGGCGGCGGCGGCGACGACACAGCCGTCAGAAAGGCACGCAGGCCCAGTTCCTGAGAAGGGAAGAGAGGCGCCCCAAGTGCAAGTAACGCTTGGCGAATAAACATACAATTCGGAGGCCCACGGGGATTCCTCGGATGGGCGGTGGAGCTCCCGGACGGCGCCTCCCGCGCCGCCCCTGGCGCGCTCCGCGAGCCGGAAAGGGGGATCCATCGCCGATCCGAGAGATCCGCGCGGACCTCCGAAAGTTGACGCTTATGCAGTTTTGTCTTCCCCTAGAAACGTGCGGCATCCGTACTTGCCGAAGGATCTGCGCGGTACCTTGCGCACGCGGCACAAAAGAGTGCACGCGGCAACAGGCAAGCAACATATCGCCCCCAGGGGCGTGAAGATCTTTGCGCTTCGCGAGTCGCGGCCTTGGCCAGAGCGCTGTCTTTTTCAAGGTGTCCTCGCGAGGGCGCGAATGTAACCGCGTATCGCGGGTCGCGATGCGAGACATCAAATGACCCAGCAAACAGCAATTCGCGCACAGCGCACCACATGGCGAACGGCGCAAAGCACGCGGGACCGTGCACAAAGCGCTACGCACACATCACAACGAGCACAGCCACACGTATGGTACGGAGCAGCAGGAGGAGGCCGAGGACAACGAGCAATACGCTCCAGAACAGCCCCGCAACCGGCTTCACGACAGATCCCATGCCCTTGGAGACGGCTTGCCGACCCCCAGGCAGCAAGCCCTGGACAGGGCTACCAACAGGCTCCCAGGAGGCTACAGGCAGACCCCCTGGGGCCGGAAGCACAGAGAGCAGTGCACACGGCATTACCTACGCGTCGGACTTTGCATGGCGCCAGGGCACCAGGCACACTGCACATGGCACGTGGCACCACGCGCTCAGTGTTACGCACCCGGCATGCAGCATTACGTGATTGGCACGGCCCGCGCGATACTGCACCACACACGATTCAGCATACATGGCACCACCATTCGCACCGCGCGGAGCACCCTGCACACAGCATCACACACACACACACACACACACTGCACCACGCACTCGGCACGCGGCACGACGGATACGATTTCACGCGCGTGGCACGCGCCATGCGTCAATGGCGAAACGCACACGGCACCGCGCACTTAGTACACGGCAGAATGCACACGACACCACAAACTGGGCACAAGGCAGCACGTTCATCGAACCGCCGATACTGAAGTCGTTGAACTTGTGTCATGCAAAGGTGTTCTGTTCAGATATTACGGGGCTTCTACAGCATTCGTTGTTTCGAGAGTCGGCGCTCTAAGAATTCAGCTTCCATGGTGGACCTGAACGCTGATATTCTTCAAGTTGTGTTTCATGCAGCCCTACGGCCTCGCCCCGCGGTGCGCAATACGCTCCAGGCAGTGGGCGGGGCCATGCTGCAACCTTCAGACGCGTGACTGCGGCTGAAGCTCTGGAGCTGTCGTTTGGGAGCGGCTCGTGGTCTCGGAGGGCAGCTCCGACAGGCGTGCCTGCCGTCGGTCTGCCTCTGCCAGAAGTTCCCTCTGGGGCGATGGACTTAGGTATTGCAGTGCCCCAGCTTCTCCTCCTCCTCCTCCTCCTCCTCCTCCTCCTCCTCCTCCTCCTCCTCGTGGGCCATCAGATCTTTGACCCTGCGGCGGCATACTTTAAGGGGCACGAGTGTGGCACATCGGCACCACGTTTTGCAGCCGCCACCCCCGCGCAGCTTCGCGGGCACGCTTCGGAAGACGCCATGCGGGCGCGAGACAGCAAACACACACTGTGCAGGAAGGCTTGCACTGTTTGGCGCATGCGGGCGCGGGTCCCGCACAGCCCCGACGCGTGTCTCAGCAGTGCGAGGCGTCGAATTTGCCGCCCGGTGCACACGTGCGGCCTCAGAGCAGGACCCTCAGGACCGCCCTGGGCCGTCCGTGCTCCGGCACGCTGCTGGCTGGAACTGCCTGCAGGGTCGGAGTGCAACCGCCGCGCGTGCGCGGGCCACGACGGGCTCTCCGGCAGAGGGCCTCGCCTTCGACGCACCCTCGCCCTCGGCGGAAGCTCGGCGGAAGCTTGGCGGAAGGCGGCGGAAGCGAACGTGAGACAGCAACCGTTTGGATCCAGAGTGGCCAAGGGTCGGCCCTCTGAGTTCCATGCTGGGTGCGCAGCCTCATGGGTGCGCGTCGCATCGCCGAGGACCCCATCCGTACCCACTTGGGCTCAAGCTCGGTCGTCGGGTGCGAGTGACTACTCGCCTGAAGTGTCGTTGACAGGTGAATTTCCTTCGAGTCCAGTACATATCATCTTCGATGTCGTTCAAAGGTCTCTGTATTCTCTTGCTTCCAACTCTGGTCCAGCTTGCCAGGGTCACGTCATCCTTCTCGGGGGGTTCATCCCAGGATCCGACTGACGAGCAGTCGTGCATGAAGATGGCAAAGGGCTGGCTCCCAGATGACGGTGTGCAGTTGTGCAGCGAAAAGCGGTTTGCGGAGGTTTCTCAGCAGGTGGCTTGCGTGGAGAAGGCTTATTATCCTTTCTACAGGAATAACGGCTTAGATTGGAACAAAGTGCCATCTGTTCAGAAAGCCATGGAGCTCTGCAAGGCGGCGGACTTCGACGCGGATGAGGCCTTGCAGCGTTCTGAATGTTCGGTTCGAGCGTGGTCCTCCGGAGACGCTGCGAAAGCTGGGTGTCTTACCATGCCCCTGGAGGTGATCTCGAACTATACAGACTGCATCACCAGCGTGCAGGGCTGGCTGGGCGAGGACGGCGTGGACCTTTGTCTGAAGCGGCAGTTCGCCACCGCTTCTCAGCAGGTGGCTTGCGTGGAGAAGGCTTACTATCCTTTCTACAGAAGTAACGGCTTAGATTGGAACAAAGTGCCAGCTGTCCAGAAAGCCATGGAGCTCTGCAAGGCGGCGGACTTCGACGCGGATGAGGCCTTGAGGCGTTCTGAATGTTCGGTTCGAGCGTGGTCCTCCGGAGACGCTGCGAAAGCTGGGTGTCTTACCATGCCCCTGGAGGTGATCTCGAACTATACAGACTGCATCACCAGTGTGCAGGGCTGGCTGGGCGAGGACGGCGTGGACCTTTGTCTGAAGCGGCAGTTCGCCACCGCTTCTCAGCAGGTGGCTTGCGTGGAGAAGGCTTACTATCCTTTCTACAGAAGTAACGGTTTAAATTGGAACAAAGTGCCAGCTGTCCAGAAAGCCATGGAGCTCTGCAAGGCGGCGGACTTCGACGCGGATGAGGCCTTGAGCGTTCTGAATGTTCGGTTCGAGCGTGGTCCTCCGGAGACGCTGCGAGAGCTGGGTGTCTTACCATGCCCCTGGAGGTGATCTCGAACTATACAGACTGCATCACCAGTGTGCAGGGCTGGCTGGGCGAGGACGGCGTGGACCTTTGTCTGAAGCGGCAGTTCGCCACCGCTTCTCAGCAGGTGGCTTGCGTGGAGAACGCTTACTATCCTTTCTACAGAAGTAACGGCTTAAATTGGAACAAAGTGCCAGCTGTCCAGAAAGCCATGGAGCTCTGCAAGGCGGCGGACTTCGACGCGGATGAGGCCTTGAGTCGTTCTGAATGTTCGGTTCGAGCGTGGTCCTCCGGAGACGCTGCGAGAGCTGGGTGTCTTACCATGCCCCTGGAGGTGATCTCGAACTATACAGACTGCATCACCAGTGTGCAGGGCTGGCTGGGCGAGGACGGCGTGGACCTTTGTCTGAAGCGGCAGTTCGCCACCGCTTCTCAGCAGGTGGCTTGCGTGGAGAAGGCTTACTATCCTTTCTACAGAAGTAACGGCTTAAATTGGAACAAAGTGCCAGCTGTCCAGAAAGCCATGGAGCTCTGCAAGGCGGCGGACTTCGACGCGGATGAGGCCTTGAGGCGTTCTGAATGTTCGGTTCGAGCGTGGTCCTCCGGAGACGCTGCGAGAGCTGGGTGTCTTACCATGCCCCTGGAGGTGATCTCGAACTATACAGACTGCATCACCAGTGTGCAGGGCTGGCTGGGCGAGGACGGCGTGGACCTTTGTCTGAAGCGGCAGTTCGCCACCGCTTCTCAGCAGGTGGCTTGCGTGGAGAAGGCTTACTATCCTTTCTACAGAAGTAACGGCTTAAATTGGAACAAAGTGCCAGCTGTCCAGAAAGCCATGGAGCTCTGCAAGGCGGCGGACTTCGACGCGGATGAGGCCTTGAGGCGTTCTGAATGTTCGGTTCGAGCGTGGTCCTCCGGAGACGCTGCGAGAGCTGGGTGTCTTACCATGCCCCTGGAGGTGATCTCGAACTATACAGACTGCATCACCAGTGTGCAGGGCTGGCTGGGCGAGGACGGCGTGGACCTTTGTCTGAAGCGGCAGTTCGCCACCGCTTCTCAGCAGGTGGCTTGCGTGGAGAAGGCTTACTATCCTTTCTACAGAAGTAACGGCTTAAATTGGAACAAAGTGCCGGCTGTCCAGAAAGCCATGGAGCTCTGCAAGGCGGCGGACTTCGACGCGGATGAGGCCTTGAGGCGTTCTGAATGTTCGGTTCGAGCGTGGTCCTCCGGAGACGCTGCGAAAGCTGGGTGTCTTACCATGCCCCTGGAGGTGATCTCGAACTATACAGACTGCATCACCAGCGTGCAGGGCTGGCTGGGCGAGGACGGCGTGGACCTTTGTCTGAAGCGGCAGTTCGCCACCGCTTCTCTGGAGCGTGCCTGTGTGGCGAACGTCTATCTTCCTTTCTACCACCATGAGGGCTTAGATTGGAATAAAGCTACATCCGTCGCGAAGGCCATCGAGTTTTGCAAGAAGACCGGCTTCGACATGTATCCGACACTGCAGTATGCGGAGTGCGTGGTACGCTCTGTTCGGGATTCACGCAAAGACATGGGCGCAGCAGAGGCACAATGCGATCATTATCCCTGTGCCTCCGGCAAGTCCCGCCACTGCACTAGCCCAGAGCTCGGTAGCGGTTGTTCGAGGAGCGCACAGGAAGCGTCAACATGTGAATCCTCGTGCACCGAGGTTTGGCATGTGCGTCGTCTTCTTCCAGTCCTAGTTTTCCCTCCTCTCTTGCGGCCTTTTGGAGGCGTCTTGGAAGCCTCTTGGCGGCCTCCTGGGGCCTCTTGGGGGCTCCTTTGACCGTCTCTGGGCGCTGTTGGGCATTCTGGAGCCTTCAGAGTCCGTCTTGGGCCCAGGAGGGTCGGCTTGGAGGTCTCTCGGGAAGTCTTGAAACATCTCACGGCCGAATTGGAGGCCTCTTGGGCCATCGTGAGGGCTCTGGGGCCGTCTTGCGGCCAGTTTGAGGGCCTCTTGGGCCCTCTGGGGGCTATCATGGAGACCTTTTCGGCCGTCTTGGGCCGACGGAAGCCCAAGAAGGTGAGAACGCGAAATTCATTGAGCCACCAAGGGTCAATTATTGAAACAGAACGCCCCCTGATCAGTCGGCCCCCCTACCCTGTCCCCCGCCCCCTGATCGTGGCGGATTCCATATACGTGGGAAGCGGGAAAGGATGGGGCCTCGAAGGCCTTTAGCGGGTCTCCGGAGGGCTCCAGTATTCTCCAGGGCCCCCCTGGGAGTCTCCACACATAGATTTTCTCAGCTTGAGGGGGGGGGTGGGGGGGGGCGATTTGGGGGGGGAAGAGTTCCAAAACTTAGCCTGGCGAAGGACCCAACCATATGCAGTTGGGAGTACCGTAGTTGTGGGTATCGTCTTCGGTGGAGCTCCCTATGGGCCACGAAACGCTGTACTGAGCGGGGGGGGCGCATGCGAACTTTGCCACTGGGGCCTTCTGTGGAGCCCCCTTATGGGACCACGGAACATTGTAGTGGGTCGGGGGGACGCATGCGGGCGGTAGCACTGGTGCCGTCGGTGGAGCTCCGTATAGGACCACGAAGCACACTGGGCGGGGGGGACGCATGCGAGCGGTAGCACTGGGGCCTTTGGTGGAGCTCCCTATGGGCCACGGAACGCTGCACTGGGCGGGGGAGGCGCATGCGAATTTTGCCATTCGGGCATTCGGTGGAGCTCCCTATGGGGCTACGAAGCGCTGTACTGGGTGGGGGAAACGCATGTGGACTTCGCCATTGGGGCCGCTGTACTGGGCGGGGGGGACGCGTGCGAGCGGTAGCAGTGGGGCTGTCGATGGAGCTCCCTACGGGGCCACGAAGCGCTGTATTGGGTGGGGGAACATATGCGGCCGGTAGCATAGGGACCTTCGGTGAAGCTCCCTATGGGGCCACCAAGCGCTGTACCGGGTGGTGGGGACGCATGCGGGCGGTAGCAGTGGGACCTTCGGTGGAGATCCTTGTGAGGCCACGAAGCGTGTGAGGAGTGTGCAGCAATGGTAGACTGAGTCGGAGAGCCGAGGCAGGGGTGGGAGGGGGGAGGGGGAGGAGGAAAAGAGGCGGAGAGGAGAACGCGGGGCGCTGTCTTTTCAAAACGAGGACCCAACACCGCAGGCTGGTTTGGAACAAACAATGAGTTGTAGATGAACTCGATCCCGAACGTGTTTTTACCGGGTTTGAGGCCCCTCGAAGTCACGAAACTTTGTTTTTGTCAATGGACTGGTGCACCTCGTCATTTTACTTGTGTTTTTGTTAAGGTTTTCGGGCCTCGGGGGGCACTAAGCCCTGGAAAAACACAATCGGGATTGAGTTTATTTTGAAGTGTTGTTTTTTGTTGGAATCCCTATCCCTGGAATGGAGCCCCTCCTTGGAAGACGAGGGGCGGAAGGAAGGAGCTGCGGAGACCGAGGGGGACCGAGGACACCCAGGGTGGCCGAAGGGGGGGGCCGACGGAGGTCGAGAGACCGAAAGATCGAGCTACGGAAATCGAGGGGGGCCGAGGGGGACCGAGGGGCCCAAGGAGGTCGAAGGACCGAAGGAAGGAGCTGGAGAAATCGAGGGGGACCGATGGGAACAGAGGGGCCGACGGAGGTCGAGGGGTCGAAGGAAGGAGCTACGACATGGAGGGGGGCCGAGGGTGGCCGTCTTCCACCCACGCCAGCGTAATCAGTGATAGAAAGCATTGGTCAGATGTAATGTCTGTGTTGTTTTTGTATATACACTCGGCCATACCACGGGACTGTTACAAAGCCGCTATGTTTCATTGTGACATCACGGGCACGTTCCTGTCAACCGGATGAAATTCGTGTCAGAATGACTTAGAAGTGTCACTCACAAATTGTGATACTCTCGAGCATCAGTTCAAACATGTATTCACCATGTTTTCGTTGTCGTACCCCCATCAACTCATTGCCTTGATGTTGTCTTTTACATTTTCGGTTTGGAAATGATTAGAGGTGTGTTGTGCCTCACCTTTGCCTTGGTCGCCTTCTTGTTTATCCAAATGCAAAGGTGGCGCAGAAAGCATCTGGAATGAACTTGCCTATAATCTGTAATTCACCTGAACCGGTCAAGTTTGCCCCACAATTCTTCAACACTGGAGACTTAAGTTTGCTATTGCGCTGAATGCGTTGGGCATTGCACTTGTGCCGCTTAGCGCCATTCCCACCCAAGAGCAGTGCGTTTGCACAGTGTGCCATCCATGTTTTCTGCCAGGACACATCCGCAATCATGCTCGTATTCACCAGCCTTGATGTTGTTGTTCTTCACGCGTGATAAGCAATCAAGATTGGGTTGTTGGTGCTCCGTGTTTCGAATTTCCGCCAGATGTGCAATTGGATTGGGGCCGCCCGAAGTCCTCCTCATATCCAGTTTGGCCACAAGCCCTCCTCATCTGGTTCGTTTCGGTTCCAATTGCTCTGCGTTGCCCGCTGCTTTACATCGTGATGTCGACGTTGGTTTCTTCGCTATACACTTTGTGTTGCCGCTGATTATTTTCGAGGGCTTGGTGGAGCGTGGTAAACTGGCCAATTGCTCAAGGAATTGTACATCCTTGTCGTCGTTTTTCTGCACATTTGACATTTACCACCCATGACAATGTCAATTTCTTACCGGTGCCTGCGCAGAGGGTCGTGCTCAGCAACATTGCGTGCCGCATGTATTTATTGATTTGAAATTCCGCATTTTGCATCGTTGCCAGACACAGGATAGTCAGCACGTTAACCTATGTGTTTGTAGTTTCCTTTTTTTCCGAATCGAGCAGATCATAGCAAGCCTTGCGTCAGCCTGGTAGCGAGATGGTTTCTCCGCGCCCGTCCCTTTGTCGATTACCAGTTTCCGGCGGCCTTCTTCGCCGATTTTCTTGTCTGGGTATGTTTGTATGATAGTGGCGGCTTCAGCCTGAGAGCATAACGCGCTGCGCATACATCTGTCCCAATGCAGTTCGGGAGCTCTAGATCGAAATCCCAGCTGTATATATATATACAAGAGAATTTTAGTGTCCGGATGGATGCATATTTCTTGTAATGTTGTTCACTATGGAAACATGTTCAGACAAACTTACGCTTGTAACGAGCCCCACAGTCGTTGCAACATGTGGTCGCATGTCCGACATATTCCCATGCTGAACCCGTCCATATGCTCGCGGTGTGCTCGTATCCCGCCCCATTTCAGACGTTGCAGCCGCGTGGATTTACATGCCCCGTGAACACGCTGACTTTCGGGCGCGTGCCAAACCACAGTCCGAGGCCATGACCGAATGGTTGCGAAACGCGCGTCGACATTTGTCAACGAAATGTCATCGCGCCGTCGATGGTCAGACCAGCAGCAGCGCGACCGTCTGTTTCCAATACTTTTCCGTCGATGCATATCTTTCGGACAGCGTGAACGACGTCGACCAGACGTCTTCCGAAGGGCGATGGTTCCGATTCCTGTAGCGAACCTCAGTCACATGCCTTGTTCGGAAGTGGTTCTGCGGATCCCAGAGGTATTTGGCATCAAGCAGATGTCTTCTCATCAACCATCGCCTCGAATTATGCAGACTGCGCGCGTTAAGCAGATGCGCCATTTGAAGCGCGTTGCGCGGTTGGAGGAGTTGCCGGCGCCACACAGATGCGCCGAGCGCAAAAAGTGCATTCGCATCAGATAAATCGGCGGAACTCCCAGTTCGGATAGCTCTGCAGCGCGACCCGCAACCCCAACGCGCTTGCCATCCAACAAGGCGCGGCGAGCAGGCTTCCGGCTTCCTCTACGAGCGCGCGTCGGGTACGCAGCGATGACCTGGGCGCTCGCCTGCACGGCTACGGCGCGTTCTAAATCGTGGGCAGCATCGAAGAAGCCATTGCGCACATTCGTTACATCACGGGGCGAGGTGTCTCCTGTGCACGGGTGGCTCTAAGGATTTGGACGCCGTCGTCGATCTGGCGTGCCCCGAGCGCATTCCCACGAACGCGCGTGGTTGAGCTGCGCTGCGGTCTGCGCATTCCCGTTTCGCTGCGCATATGCGACTATCCTGGACTGCGCCCGCGGCATAACTGGCGCTCGCCCGCGTCGGGCACGGCGCGCGCGGCGCGGATCGCCGCGGTTCTTTAGTGAGAGAGGGTGCCATTCCAGAAAACGCTTTCACAGGGAATGCTCTCACCCGACAGTGACCGAGGCCAATCTGGAACGAGGCGCGCCCACGTGCTAGTT